ATTTAAGTGTGTTAAAGTGCTAATCGGAGAGGAAAAGGTAAAATCTTTAAACTTTGTTGAGATAATACACAAGGTCAAGAGTGTATTTCAGACTTGTCAATTATCGCAATTAAAAAACAGTTATTGGTATAATTGAGGCGTTCACCAACATTTTACGTGGACGTAATTAAATCTTTCCTTAAGAAAGAGAGACGATTCCATTTAGAATATAAATAATTTGTTTTTTATTGGGGATAAGTCGCTCGTGTCCGTAGGCTTTGACCACCTAATCCTAGGCCCACCCTACACGTGTCCCCCGGGTGGTGCTAAATGAGCGACAAGCCGATAGCACAGACTTGGCTCCTCGCCGTGGTAGCGGCGTTAAATATACCACTCCATTCGTACCATGAGGAATCAAATTAAAGAAATGGCCCCGAGTTCCCGGCGCCCCTTTAATGGGGCAGGGGTGCGAAGAATCTCCGGGAGGAAAACCGGCGACGAGGCTCGCCACCCGTCACGTTCTGTCTCCCGGAGGGGTGAAAAGTGGATTGCAGAGGCCCGTCTGGCTACGTTGAATGTATGTGGAGCAATGAATGATAAAATGGATGAAGTATGCGAGGTGATGTATGATAGAGAAATAGATTTGTTATGTGTAAATGAGACGAAACGGAAGGGGAAGGATGTCACTACACATGGCATGTATACCGCATACTGGTCTAGTGTAGACGAGCTCGAGCGGGCATGCCAGGGAGTAGGTATCATCCTATCAGAAAGAATGGTGCAATGTGTGAAAGAGTATGAATGTGTAAGCCCAAGACTGCTATGGATACGATTGAAAGTGGGCTTAAAGAAGTTGTTTGTGCTAGGGGTCTACGCCCCAGACATGACTAAGCCCACTCATATCCGAGAGCAGTTTTGGGAAATGGTAAGGATGGTATTAATGAAATGTAAGGGAAATGAAAATGTTGTTATGCTAGGAGATTTTAATGGAAGAGTTGGGGTGAGGAGGCTTGGTTATGAAAGGATATTGGGAAAGTTTGGTGATGAAAGTATAAATGAGAATGGTGAAAGCCTTCTCACTGTATGTATGGAAAAGAATCTTTTTGTGACGAACACTTTCTTTCGCCACAAGAGGATTCACATGTACACTTGGGAAAGAGGTGATGATAGAAGCATGATAGATTTCATAATTGTGGATGAAAGATTGCGGGGCGCAGTGGTGGATACAAGAGTTTACCGGGGGTCAAACGTAGGAACGGATCATTTTTTGGTTTTATGCCGAATTAATGGTCTATTCAGGCAGTGGCGCCATCGGTCATCTGTGTCTACCACTGCGTTACAGCGTATTAGAACAGAAAGATTACAAGATGAAGGTGAGAAAAACAAGTTTAAATGTAGACTGAAAGAAAACGTAAGTGGTTTGGATGAATTGTGTATGAATGAGTTAGACTTGGAGAATGTATGGCAAAACGTTAAGAAAGGTTTAGTAGATGCAGCTACCGAAGTATGTGGTGTTAGTAAAAGAAAGAATGAAAGGAAAAATAATACGTTATGGTGGGATGATGAGATACGTACGGAAGTTGAAGCAAAGAAGAGAGCATGGCTAGATTTACTAGCAACTAAGGCTGGTAATTCTAGCGGTACGAATGATGATTTTGAAAAAAAAAAGGCAGTCTTTAGACATCTAAATAAAAGAGTAAAAGAAGTAGTTGAAAGGAAAAAGCAAGAAAGAACGGATAAGAATGATAGAAGAATATCGGATAATTTTCAGGCAAATATTAAAATGTTCTGGAAACTCGTAAGAACTGCCAGGGGATGTTCAAAACAGCCTATAATGAATGCTATAAGAGATGAGAATGGCTATATTCTGAATAATGAAGTTTTGAGTTTAAAGAGATGGAAGGAATATTTTGAAAGCATGTTTATGAGTGAGGAGACAACGTATGAACTGAATGAAATAGGAACTCCGAAAGAAGAGGAAGGAGGTAGCGAGATAAGTATAGATGAAATAATGAAAGCAATGAAAAGCATGAAAGCAGGTAAGGCTGCCGGATATGATAGAGTTTCACTCGAAATGCTAAGGGCTGGAGAGGAAGTGGTGGCAGGCCTGCTGCACACCTTGTTTAATTTATGCTGGGAACTGAAGCGAGTACCGGGAGACTGGTGCAAAGCCGTGATAGTCCCAGTATATAAGGGAAAAGGATCGCAGCAGGACTGTAAAAACTACCGCGGTATCAGCCTTCTTAGCATCGTGGGAAAACTGTATGCCAAGGTACTAATTGAAAGGGTCATGAAAGAAACCGATGGAAAAATTTGGGATGTGCAAGCGGGA